ATACAATGTGGTTGATTATTGTGGCCAATTACCGAATCCTCCCTCCCTCCCCCATCTCCCCCCTCCCTCCGAACAATGTCCTTTCTACCAGAAATTTTTAAAGATAGGAATCATTTGGAAAATGTCAATTATTTCACATAAAATTCCACTGATAAAGAATAATGTACAGATTCATCTGGGAGAATAGCCATGGTTCAACTTTAATAGCCCTTTCTAACTAGGTCTGGCTGACCAGTTAGCTCAGATGGTTAGAGCATGGTGGTGGTAAAACCAAGGTCAAGGGTTCAGATCCCTGTACTGGCCAGCTGCCCCCCCCAAAAAATAAATTATAAATAAATAAATAAAAAGGGGAGTCTAACTAGGTCTGAATAACTTTTAAAAAATGGGGGGGGGGGTAGGAAGGAAAGATAAACATTACCACTCATGCCTAGTTCTCAAGACCCTTTCATGAGATCAAAACAATCTTCACATAATACTAATTATTTGCCTCGCTCATGTATATACAATGGAGTTTTCCAGAGGCTATATGAAGTTCAATATCACAACAGAAAGAATTTAGAAGCAGATATGAAAACCTGGCTGTCTTCTATTAAGATAGCTGTTAAAGAGATGTGTGGGCCGCCCCTGTGGCTTGCTTGGGAGAGTGTGGTGCTGATAACGATGAGGCCACAGGATGGGATTCTATATAGGGATGGTCGGTGCGCTCACTGGCTGTGCATGGTGCAGACCACACCGTGCTGAGGGTTGCGATCCCCTTACCAGTCAAAAAAAAGAGAGAGATGTGCAAAATATAAAACAATGCCACTCTTCTCACTAATTTTTTCTGGGAAAATATAGTGGTTTTCTTTAATGCTACTTAATATTAAAATGTTAAGGGGTTTACTATTGTTATTTTTAAGTGATTAATATATATCATGAAAATTTCTCAGTTTTAACTTCTAATATGCTAAATATTGATAGACAAAAGCCACATTAAAAATAAAAGTTCTTTGTGGCCTTCAATAATTTTTAAAATCCCAAGACCAAAAAGTTTGAGAACCACTGCTCTAGCCCATGAGCAAACAGTTTCACTAACCTATCCAGTTCTTCCAAATCACAATGCACATATGAGGAACTTGCTTTTAATGAGAGTTTATTTGGCATGTACGTTTACATAAGTGGGCTGATGAGTTCAGCTGGTTAAAGTATATGAATGACACAAAGATCTTGGCTTGCAGCACCACATTTCAAAAACTGAGACCAATAATCACATCACCATAATAAGGTTAAAGCAGTACATAATAACTGATCATTCTACTGGAAAAATAATTCCCAAAAGGTATTGCTTCATAGGTCAATGGCAATTGTGTATATTAATGTGTGGATACAGCCTAGAATAAAAATAGTTTTAAAAGAATAGAGTATTAGAGAATACTAATACAGAGTATTAGAAAAATAACAACACTAATACAGAGACTCTCAAAATCTTGCAAAAACATTGGAAGTAGTTCTTTCATTACAGTCAATATAAAAACAATGTGCAACATTGATATCCAGGTACCAGATACTAGAAAGTCTAGAATCCACAAAGCTACAATGTATAAAAATTCAAATGGTTTGGTTTATAATAATAAACTACTCTGGTCTAATTTACCTCTTCATATTTGTTATAGTCTCTCCAGAGCTGTTCAATGTTGATCATTGGATTAACACAACCTCGTTGATAAACTCTTCGGACAGCTGTTATTCTCTGATTTTCTGCATAAGATCCAACAGCTTCCCTGAGATTGTATAAGAAATGCCATCAATTATAGCTAAACCAACTATTTATATGAAAAAAAACTATAAAAATACACACACAAAAAGAGAAAAAAAACAACACACAACACACACGCACACAAAATACTTACACGCCTTTTAGGAAATTGATGTAATCCACCCAGATCTAAGAAATAAAATAAAATGTTAATATCTTTGTTGATATTTTCAAATTTAAGTGTGTGTATTAAAAAATTTTAACTCTACCTGATAGGACATAATTTCCATTCCAATTTTATCCAGTGCAAAGTCATATGCTTGAGCCATTTTTTCTCTGAAATAAATGTGAAAGACTTGTTTTTTGTTATTAAAAATTATCTACAACTAAAACAGAACTTATCATGATCAGAACAGCATTTGAATCTTTCTATGAACAAAAATGAAAAACATTTTTGTAAGTATATACAGAAGATAGTTACTTTATGTTATGCTTGCAATGTCATTAATTTATGTACTTTGTATCATTTATCTAGTGCTTGTGAGCTTATCAATGATAAGGCCCCTATCTTACTTATCTTTATAGTCTTTAAGTTGCCTAATTTTATAAGTAGCAAATTCAAATGTGGAAATATGTGGTTCTCTCACTAAGGTGGTAAGTTGTGAGACACATTTACCTGTGAAGTAAAATTTAGAGAGAAAGAACTTTCTCTTCAATATAAGACAATAAAGTATAATCAGGAAAAGATAATAAAGATAGAATTTTAGTCCTAGAAATAACTTGCCTGTTTGTTATGTACAAAAATAGCATCTGGGAAGGTCCGTTATTTAGATTCAGTGGAGACGGGCAGTTGGGTGTAAGACATAGTGGGGAAGTCAACTATACAATAGTCAAAGATGCCTTAGATCACTCAAGTAGCACACTGCATTGTGACCTGCCAAGAATGGTATCAGGACAAGTATAAAGATGCTTTTTTAAAAAGTTAGACTACAAGGCAGTCAACAAAGTGGTGTTGCAAATATATTGTGTTTCAATATAGAAGAGCTTGGGTGATGGAATTCTCCAGAGTGAGACTGCCAGTGGCTTTTTTTGAAGCACTTTTTCCGAGGTTACTGATTTCTTGGAAAATCCTGGCTTTTCAAATCTTTATGTCTCTTCCTACCTGGAGCTAAGAGAAGGTGTGAGTTTATGTGAAATGGACTGTGTGCCTAGAGATGACTTGCATTCTTAAGATCCTAATTTCACTTACTTGTAACTTGGTAGTTTACCCTTGGTTTCTCGGACATATGAAAGATAACACTTCCATAAATCAATGTGCAAAACCTTCATAAGGCATCTCTGAAATAGCTTTAAGTGCAAGAAAATATTATCAGAATCCAGTTAAATAAATTTCACAGGTACATGGATGAAATGGAACATTAAAAAAACAAATTCAGCTCCTTTCATGAATTTATCTTCTTACAAATAAAAGGCAAATAGTTCTCTCCTGTTTTCAGTTTAGACAAAATCATTCTCATGACTTTGGTCAGTAGAGTATAATTATTTTCTTTTCCTTTTCCAAAAATGTTATGATGAACATTTTTAAGCATATGAAAAAACTGAATAAGTACAATGAACTCTTATATAATCACTACTTAGATTCAATAATTGTTAACATTTTACTATATTTGCCTTATATATATTAAATCTTAAGTTAAGCTTCAGCATAAAATTCAAAATATATTCTTTAAGAGGACTCACCTTTTCAACCTTGTCATAATTTTTAGCTTTAATCTAAGAGAAAGAGAAAAAATATAGGATTAACATTCACCCTTTTAAGAGTATCAGAACTATTTCTGAACTTTTGAACAATTTTTTGGACGAATTTTTAACTGTCCTTGCAGATTCATCTCTACACTTTCCTATTAAATTTGTTCTTCAAAAAGAACAAATAATAAAAGTTTGAACCCAACATGGATAATGTGCAATGTAAACATGCCTTGTGTAAATTGATTCTATATGGACAGATTTTCACACACACCTCATTTACACTGAAATTTTGTGATTTCAAAATTTTGTGAAATAGTCACCAGATGAACACAGATATACAAGACCTACCCAAAAAGGGCTTTATGTATCTACTGAAGACAAAAGCTTTACTTTCCCTGAATAGCTACTACTAGAACAATCTAAGTAGAGAAGCAAAAAAAGAAGACTTGTAAATTTTGACTACACATAAATATTCAGTCACTTAGTCAACCTATTGTATTGCAGGCACTGTGCTAGGCATTGAGGCTACCACAGAGAACAAGACAGGCATGGTATGCCCCTGCCTTCACAGAGCTTACATAAGAGATTATGGTAAATGCTAAGATGGGGGAAGTTCAGGGTGGTATGGTAGCATTTAGGAGAAGCAAAAACCTCAGAATTGGTGAGTTGCAAAAGACTTCCTGGAAAAAGTTAAGATCTTAAGGAAAAGGTGCTTGGTAAGGAAAAGGAAGAGTTATTCCAGGCAGGAGGAGTAGCATGTCTATCATTTACCTGATAGGTAAATAAATATTTTGGTTGGTCAGAGAAATTTTGGCTTGTGGTCCTCTTCTCTCAAGAGAAATTTACCGTTTTCTGGCTTAAGGTGCTGCAGATGGAAATGCTGATGACAGTCTTTTTTTCTTTTACCTATAACTTGCTCTTTCTCTCTGGAACTTGTAAATTTTTACCTTGATCTTCAGAGTTCATAATTTTGCCATGATAAGCCTAAACATAGGTCTTTGCTATTTGAGGCAGTTTAGCCAAGGCTCTGGAGTTAAGACTTCTTAGGTTCACATTCTGGCTATCCAGTTAATGTCTCTTCCTCATCTGAATTAGGGGGGAAATGGTACCTATTTTGTATGGCCATTCTGGGACTCAATGAGTTAATAAGTGTGAGGTCTTTAGATCATTGCCTAGCAGCACTCAGTAAGTGTCATTTATTATTATTACCACGAATTCTGCTTTTAATTCTGCATGCCCTTTGAACCTAGACTCAAGGTTTTTTTTTTAAGCTCAAGAATTTTCTTCTTTTTAAAATATTCTCTTTATTTCTTCCTTTTTCTCCTTATAGAATTCTTACTACACACGATAGGTCTCATGGTTCTATCCCTTAAAAAAAATCTATCTTTATCCTTTCTTTGAATTTTTGCTCAAGGCTTTAAAATACTTTGTCCACTAGATTCTCCAGGCTGTTAAGTCTCCATGTGACCATTCTCCTCCATTTAACCTATTGCTGTATGTGATTCTCAAATAATTGTTTATGGCTTTAGAAGTTTTTTTTTAATACTGTACTTTGAATGTTCATATTATTTCGCTCCAGTTGTTTTTTTCCTCAAGCAGCTCTATTTGGTTGAGGGCCTGTACTGACAGTTTTATTTTATATTCTTTTCTGGTTGCTGGATCCTTAGATGTGCTGTTATTCTTTCTGTCTACTCGCTGAAACTGTGTTGGCAGTCCTATAGTACAAATCGACTCCTTCTTTGCCATGACAGCTGTGTAGCAAGTGTAGGCAGCAAACAGGCTGCTGCTAGTCCTCTGCCAAGGAATCAGAAAGAAGTCTCTGCTCAAGAGGAGGGAGGACTCAGCCTGCCTGTTCAGTTCCTTTTTGGTTTCCTGGTGGCCAGGCTGATGTCAACATTCTTCTGACATAGAAAGGCAGTTGAAGTGTTCCAAGTATTTCTGTGGTTCAGCTTCTTAGTCCTTGCCTAAGCTCTCTACCAGCCTTCTTCCTTGAGACTCCCACAGAACCTGAGCTTTTCTTGCATCCAGTGCTTGGCTCAGTAGAGGTAAATAGGCTGAGTTGAGAGTCGGATTGAAGTGGAATGAGTTTAAGTCACCAGCTTCCCAATGCAGGTGAGATTATACATAATTGTTACAACTGCTCAAGAAAACCAAAACCACCTGTTGGTTTTGGCAAAATTGGCAAAGAATATGAATATGCAGTTCCCAGGAGAAAATACAAATGGTTAAAAACCATATAACAATATGTAAAAAATTTCAAAGTGGGAAAGACAAATTAAAATATCATTTTATACTCATCAGAATGATAAAAACTTAGAAGTATATTAACATTGCTGAAGCTATTTAAGAAAAAGGGATTTTATACATTGATGGAGGAAATATGAATTGGTACAGCCTCTATGGAAAACCATTGGTAACAGCTATTCAAATAAAAAATATGTATTCCATAAAAATAAAATCACCAGGATATAAAGGTATTTATATCCTATGTATACAGTTATTTACAGCTGACTTTGTAGTAACAAAAAAATTAACAAAGTAAATACCTGTCAATAGGAAAATGGTTAATAAGTTACAGTACACCCATAACATGGAATATTATATACCCATATAAAATGAATTAGAACTATAACAAGTAATCAGGAGGTAGTGCCACATGATCTTAATTGAGTGAAAAAATATAATAAAAATATGTATAATACATCCTTATAAAACAATGACCAAAAATAAATCCTATATGTAGTTTAGGCATGATTTTATGAGCATGGAGAAAAATATCAAAAACACACAAGGTTGTTAAACATAAGTATAGTAGGCAGTGTGATATGGGTGAAGAAAAGAATAGAGACGAGAAAAAAGAGATTGTAATACAAGTATATGATCTCACTTGTGCATTTCAGTAAAAATTTTGTCTACATATGTGTAAGAAATATAAACCAAAAAAAAGGTTAAAAAGTTTTACCTTTTTGCCCCCACACAAATTTGTCCTGTATCTTTGATTCATCAATTATTTCTTTAATTGGTATTAGTCTAATAAATATATGTAGAAAAAGACATTTTTGATAAGTACAGGAAGACACTCTGGCCTTTCTGTACACGACCACTGACTGTCATTCATTAATTCAACCAATAGATATTATTTGAGAGCCCCTCTACAGAGCCAACACTGGCTGGCATTACCACAGCAGCTATAATCTCATTTTTTTAAAACAACATTCATTTAAAAGAATAATTTCAAAAAATTATCATCAATTTGCTTTGGAGATAAGATCTGCAGTGTAATAAAATGAACTGAACACTTCATATTTCTAGTCCTTTGATAATTTCCACAATTATTTCCTGAGCATCAATTGGTTATTAATTACCTTTTGGAACTAAAGCTATCCTCTGAGCAATTGTCAGAACTAATGATCACTTACAGTAGATTAATTTTCTAAGGTGTAAACTTTGTCAGAATAAGAGTTCTAATAGGGCCGGCCAGGTGGCGCACTGGAGAGTGCGCCGCTTGGGAGTGTGGCAGCGCTCCCGCCGAGGGTTCGGATCCCATGTGGAGACCGGTTCCCGCTCACTGGCTGAGCGCGGTGCGGGCGCAACGCCGAGGGTTGCGATCCCATTGCCAGTCAGTAAAAAAAAGACAAAAAGGAAAAAAAAAAAAAGAGTTCTAATAAACCTTTGACTAACTGTGGACATGTGTTTGTAACAGTTTAGATTAGCCATGCCCTTTTCTTGAAATTTTTTTTTTTTTTTTTTTAAAGAAGACCGGTAAGGGGATCTTAACCCTTGACTTGGTGTTGTCAGCACCACACTCTCCCAAGTGAGCTAACCGGCCATCCCTATATGGGATCCGAACCCGTGGCCTTGGTGTTATCAGCACCGCACTCTCCCAAGTGAGCCACAGGCTGGCCCTTTTCCTGGAATATTTTTATGTGGGGATCTAACGAAGCCACATTTATCTGTTCAAAAATAAATTCCGTTTTCCTAACCAATGTTAAAAGATTTTTCATGTTTCATTGAACATTTTATGAAATATTGGTGTAAATGCCTATAAAATTAACATTTTCTTTTTTACCAGAGAAATAACATCATTTTTTTTTTCCTTTTTGTCCTTTTTCGTGTCCGGCAACGGATCGTAACCCTCAGTGTCGCGCCCGTACCGGACCGGGACTGGCAACGGGATCGCAACCCTCGGTGTTGCTCCCACACCTCGCTCAGCCAGTGAGCAAGAACCAGTATGTATGTGGGATCCGAACCCTCGGCGGGAGCGCCACTGTGCTCCCAAGCGGCGCACTGTAGCAGTGCGCCACCGGGCCGGCCCGAGAAATAACATCATTTTAACTGATTTCCTCAAACTCTATTTTTTTCTTTATCCTATGGGAAAAAAAAAAACTCCCATAACATCAGAATTTTTTAGAAGTATGTTGCTTTTTAAGTTGTCAGTTGTAGAATCAGTAGTAACCGTACAATTAACTTGAAATAGTTCAAAAACATTTGATAAGTGAACCCACCTCACAATTCTATAGCGGAAAATCAAGAAGCAAGAAAATCTAAAGGAGAAAGTAAGCCTCTATATACTTCCTTTAGATTTTCACACAACAGCCATCTGGGACAAGTCAGTGCCTATGTTTTCAGACAGTACCTGACAGAGGCAGGGCTAGGAGCCATCAAAAGTGAGTTCATATGGCATTTGCTAACCATAAGTGTGATGAATTGCAGACCCACATTCCTAATTTGTTCCCTGCCTCTTTTCTACTCTAAAGAATAGCACCTGCACTTTTGAGGGATTTAAAGACAACCAATTTAAATTCGAGTTTGAAATGCAGCTGAATGATTCTGCTTGTCTTAAATATCCAAAAAGCTTAGCCCTAATCCTGAAATCTGAAGGCAAATGGAATCCTACATGTAAACCCCATATTCCATTCATTTACTTCTTCACTGCTCTTCAGATGCTCTCTAATCCACTATGCCCTGAAAAACATGTCTTGGGAGATTACAGGATGTAAATTTTAAAGAATTTGGGAAATACT